GCGAATTAATGCAGATAAATTGGGGAATCCCCTGAAATGAATTTTGTTTACCTCCGATAACGCGAGTGCATCGACATTCTAAAAATTGTAACACCAGAAAAAGCAAGCGCGGTAAAAGTTGCCGGTGTATCATAAACCCTCTAGTGAATGGCGATGACATACAAATTTCCTCATGATACCCCCATACCTCCCGGAAGGCTGTCCTCACCATTTGATCATCACTGAGCCATCTGTCTGGTCAATATAACCATCAAATAGTCAAGCTCATCACCGAACAACCCTCAATGCCATATGCCCATAGGATCCCCCATAAATAATCCCTAATTCCCAGAGTCAACTCCAAAAAAGACCAGAACACTTCATTTAACGACATAACAGCGTCATTGAAGATCCGCATGACGATATCGCCCCATCACCCCATGCCTTTCAGAAAGACGTGATCAGTCTTACGTGTTCTGCAGATACCGATAAAACAGCCCCCGCAGGCCAACTGGACCACAGGGGAAAATTATCGTGTATGAAAAAATTAATAACTTTATTCTCTACTCGAAGTAAATTGACAGAGTACGCGACGTGAATAAATCGTTACACGGAAAGAAAAATACCGGAAAAATTATGGAACTTTCTCGTATTCGTGGGGTGACCCTGGTTTTCGGGAAAAAATACTGTAAGTTCCGTAAAAATTTTCGTAGCGAGCAGGAATTTTTACGAAACTTTCAGGACAATTTTACGGTACCTCCAGTACTTTTTCCCGAAAAGCAAGGTCACCCCACGAATACGCGAAAGTTCCGTAATTTTTCCGGTATTTTTTTCTCCGTGTAGAATGAATGAAAATGGAAGTTAATTTTTCAGATTATCAGAAAAATTTGAAATTCAATGATTTTTTAACACCTAAATCGCATTCACTGTCACCTTCCTGAAAATTAATCGTCAAGTGGTCCTGAAATATATTTTTTCTAACAGTGTACTGCAACAAGCACCTACTTAGGAGCAAACTTGATTCTCTCCTTTTCTCTTTAGTTGTTCAAGCGATATCATGGTAATTTAGCCCAGTCGTTCTTACACCGCCTTGTGTACCTCAGACTCTAACAGAGGAGTAATACGATCGTATACGACCCATGGGGGGAAATAATGCAAATAGTACTTCTCTCTGTGCGCGCACTCGGGTACTTGGAAACAAAGTTGAGTCACGTACGTTCATCACGGGATCTGATATAAACCGTGGATGGAGCCGCGTTTACAGTCTTGGTGTATTATACGCTTTTCTTATGGGGTACGGGGGGTACGCTATGGGGTCTTGTCCATTGGGTACCTGCGTCTGCTGTGATTGGGCAAATTACGAGGGGGTACGTTTTTCCGAGGGGGTGAATCTCAGTGACAACAGCCACACGGAAAAATTCATTTTTTTTAATGCATCACGATAAATAATATATTAATAATATATATTCAATATATATTATATATTTTAAAAATATTTTTGCATTCTGGCATTTTGGGGGATGAAATTGAAAAAATTTTTATTATCATTTGTTGTATAATTGAGAAATGAAATTCTGTCGTGTCTTCATTGAGGAATTATTATTATTAGTAGCATTATTGTTATTGTATTCATCAGGATAATTGAGAATGTGCTCCAGGCACGCTAGAAAGATGTTCTTATCCTCATGTTATGTGCTAGCATTTTATGGAGAGCTTATATGTCAACTAATTAGAACATGAGTGCACCATCTTGCAATAAAGTCAAGTCATCAAATTATATTTTAACAGAACAGTGAATTATTTTTTCATTCGTTAAGTGCGTTATCAATTATTAGTTGTAAAATGAGCGGATGATAGAAACAATTTTTTTTTCTTGAAAGTAGAAAAACGGCAAGATTATAGTTTTCGTTAATTATCTATTGATCTCACAATTGAAATTTCCCCCGAATAATCAATATCAAAAGCAATATCAAAACAAGGAAAAATCCGTCCATTAAGTATCCTCCGAATACAGTTGAAAATTTTTTGGCGCCAATACCTCTCCGCATAATTCACTCTTCCTCTTAAACTTGGCAGAGTTTCAAGTGTACGAACAATGAATTTCGCACTTATAATTGGATGTGCCGTTGTCGCGGACAGTGCTCTTAATGTTAAGTGGCCCTCTGGGTGTAGCTGGAGGGTAGGGGGTAAAAAGCCAGAGCCACTTCCGCGGCCAACTAGCACTCCAACTACATACATTTTCGCCACTTCCCTTTCCGAAGTTTCCGTTATTTTTCTCCGCGCCCCAAAAGAACTTAAAACGAAAAAGAAACGAACAATCCGAGACAAAGGACCACTTGTTTATTTATATTTACGTCCATCTCAGAGCAATTTCTCGATTCACAGCTCCGGGCATGTCCTCCGGTTCCCGAAGCTCGACTATATTGAATTAACGTTCCAAATTTCGATTAAATTCAAAACAGAAAATTTCTGTATAAATCTGACTATAAATTTCATTCCGTAATTCACACCTGCATCAACCCCGGAGCAACCCCTCGACAGCTCCGAGTGTGTCCTCCAACCCCGGAGCACTTGAGATTTAAATCGCGTGATTGAAAACGGCAACTGACGGAGTACCGGTGCAGGATAAAAGCCGTCGGTCGCGGCTTCGAATCTTTTTCCCTCAATTTAATATTTTTTATTTTCTCTATTCCCTCACCGGTATATTGCCCGGGTATAGCGTCCGCTCACGTATCACCTTGGCACACGTAGCTCTTCCCCATGGGCTCGCATGAATCTCGGTGGTTTAAATCTCATCCATACATATGTACGATTACAAATGCCCCAGTGGATTGTTGGCTGACGGGCGGGGTTTTGCACGCACGCATTCGGTACAAGAGATTGCTTGTACAGCGTGTGGCACACCAGTCTGACCAAGGATATGCCAGTGTATGCTGATCATTAGAAAATACAGGGGGAGCTCATTATAACGCCATGCCAACTGTACATACGTCGGTATTTGATGAGTCGGGGGGACGCCCGGAGGATATTGCGGTTTATGGGGGTTTTAATTGATTATGTTAGACTGCTCTGGTGAGGAATGCTTTTGATAGTTAATGCAGATTATGCGTCTGATAAACTGAAGTTTTTTTCCTCTTAATTTTGCCTTAAGCATTGTTTTTTTTATCCGGGAGCGATAACCTCCTCCAACACCGCGTGCACCGATTTATGCAGAACGTGATGCGAAATATAAATAAATAAAAATATTTGCAATATATTTATTTTTCATCAAAATTTTAGAGAATTTTATAACTCAATATAAAATTCATCAGCAATGAAAATTCATTTAGATATGTCCTCGGAATTTCAATTAGGTGTAAATTTAAAAATATACCCCCCAAAATTTGACCTGACTGATGATTTCGTATATATCTTCCAAGAATAAAATAATTCTAAAATATAACTACCCCATATTCTACACATCCTGTTGATATAATCTAAACCACTTAACCGAGAGTACCCTATATTTATCAGAAGCCATATTTTTCATGTGGAAATCCCCAAGCACTAATAGCCTCACAACCCCGGAGAACCTATTTGTAGCGATTTCCATAATCCCCGAAAAATGCATCTACATTGCCCATCCCCTCATCAGCCTCCCAAGATACAATCAGTGTTAACTCTCCCCCTTTTCCCTCTCCAAAAAGGCAGTACCTCCCCCTAATCAATAAACCCAATCTCTCACTCCCTCTTGATTCAAAGGTAAAACATAAAACCGGTAAAAAGCATTTCTTAGACTGAGATAATTTGTTTCTCTCAATCCATCCACCTGTACCCTCTCAACTCCCTCTTTCATCTCAAATTGTATATTCTCCGCTATTTATCCAACCGATTTTAATTAATGAAAAATTAGTCAAGATGGAAAACTCTCCATAAAGAAACTTATCTTCGTAAACTGGCGAAGGAGCAGAGAGTGAAGAGGAGGAAAAAAGAGGAAAAAGGGGGAAAAATGGGAGGGTGGAGGGTGGAGGAGGGTTTGAGGAGATGTAGCGGGATAGATGAAGAAAAGAGTTAAGAGGGGAGGAGAAGTTAAGAGGAGTGAATGTTGGTGGATAGAGGGAAGAGTACTAGCAGCCTTGTCAGGCCACCTTGCACGGAAGAAATACCGTTCCCATAGAATGTTAATGCGATCTTCTCTACGCTCTCGCCCAATCCCCCTCTTTGCCCTCACCTCAACTCCTGTTTACTCCTCCAGCCACTGGCCCGCCACTGGCCCGACACCGGCCCGACACCGGCTTCACGCTCGCACGCACGCATTGTTACGTAATTCCCTTCCTATAACCCCTGTGGTAAACCATAACCCCCTATTATTTACGCTGCTCATCCAAGTCTCTTTATTTTTCTCGTTAACTCCATTTTCATTACGAGTCGACTATTAATTCATTAAATCCATGGGAAAATACATTTGCACTTTTTAAAATTACGCAGTTATAATGTATCAAGACAATCGAAATTATCGAGCAACGAGTTTGATCGAACTCTACGCGTGAAAGGGTAGATGAAAATTTGATGATTTATCTTTTATTTTGAAGTTCTGATTTTGAGCTTTGAAATAAAAAAATAATCATTCAATTTCACTCAACGATTCAATCAATTATATTTTCCGCGTAATATCAATATTTTCTTGGTAAATGATAATAGCTAATTGATCATTAATTTAATGTTTTTCTGAGATATATTCCCTGAAAATATCCCAAGTAATTCCGCAACAATCTAATTAGCAATGGCGCTGATAAATTTTTTATCTCACGGCTGTTATTCCAATAATAGCCCCTGTTTTCTCGATCTCTGCAATTTTAACGATTACGATGCGGTCGCAACAAGAAGTGATTACCCCCATCTGATTAATTCGATAAATCTCGTGGAGATAATAGTTCTAAAAATAAATGGGGGGGAAGGGGGGGGGGCGGTGTTTTTGTCCATTTGAAAGCGGTTGGTGTATAAAAATAAATTTGTCCCGCGTTAAATATAGCTTCACTGACCTGCACAAGAAGTCTCGTTCACCAAGGCAGAGCTCAAGACAGTGTTGACGTGACGAGGCTGTCATACTTCTTTTGGTATGACCCTGAAGACGATGGCCTTGTACCCTGTCGATGCACCACGCTCTCTCGCAGGGTTTAACAGCAAGACAGCTCTTCTGCGCGTAGATCGTGAATACCGGGAATTGAGATTGCGTCAGTGCACCTGGAAGAATTATCCAAATTACCATAAATACCCAATTTATCTCTATAAATCGAAATTAAAGAGGAATTGCATTCCACGCGATACAATAATCGCTATTGAATATTCAGGTAGTTTCAGTGGGAATAACGAATTCACATATCTCTCAGAAGTATTCGGAAATTTGTGTCAAATGAATTTAAAATTAACCGTTGAATTTCGTCAGTTGGTAAAAAAATAGAATAAAAAAAAAACGCATTGTCCCCAGATCAGTGGAATATTCCCAAAAAAAAATTCCTTCCACTACGAACGCGATAAAATTTGTCCCGATTCCTCGACAAAACGACAGAGGAAATCTTCACCAGTGCACACAATCCGTCACGATGAATCGAAGGAATTGTCCAGTTGCGGAGAAGTCACCCGAGAGAATGAATCGATGAGTCTCCGAATCGGTCCATTGCCTCGGCAATCAGAAAAACCTGAAGGTACCTGATACTCTGCCGAAGGGTAAATACGTATTTTCCCGGCGGAAGAGGATTCCAACCAATCGATTCCATCGAACGTGGATCGATTGTGCCTGCCTTAGCATCTTGCAAGTCTAATGCCAACCATCAGTGATTAATCACCCCCTCATTCCACCCCTGCCCCTTATGTTTTGCTATTTTTTTTTTTCTTAATTCTTTTATTCGATTCCATTCACGTTTGAATTCCCTACGATGAGTCGATAAAACCCCAGTAGGTGGTAACGCATCATAGAGATGTATGGGGCACCCAGTGGCAATTGTATTGACGTGAGGAATTTTCAACAACTCATGGGAGGAGAAACCGCCCACATTTACGGAAGCCGTGAGCCCCGTCATCATGACTACGGTAGTCTCCTTCGTCTTTCTTCCATTATCTATTGCCACAATCTCCAACCGAAAGATGACTCCCAACAATTACCCCCAAAGAAAAAAAAATTAACTATAAAAAAGTTGAGGAGAAAACATCTCCCGAAAATTTATCCCTCAAAATAAATTATATCGATTCCTCATCCATTAAAAAAAAATCCCATTTACACCCACTTGAAAAACAATAAGAAATTATATGTAATATTTAAATAAGAACGGAGCTAATTAAACTGCGATCCTAGATTTGATTGAATTAATGCAGCGAAAAATGTCGGGACTACAAAAATCGCGAACCCCCCCATCACCTGAAAATCACAAAACACAAAAACAGATGAAAATATTCAGTCCGATCACGGGTGTGCAAAGCTACTCTAAAATAAATTTTTCCAACTAATTATTCCTTATAAACCCGACATAAACAACCGGGAGGTTTAACAAAAACCAAAGGAGTTTAAAAAAAAATAGCCCATTAAACCGTCCAGATTTCTCGGAAGGTCACGCCTTCCTGGCGGTGGTATCAGTGGACTATTAGTGCTATGGCTCTATGCAAATAGCCCTCGGTGTTTTTTTTTCCAGGGCTGATGGCCGAGCGAAGAAGCGAGAGTATATAGTAAAAAGAAGGAAGAGAAGTTGAATCGAGACAGTGGCGCGACTCGCAGGAGATCCCCCCATAAATTTTCGCTGGGTTAGAAACCGAGTGATATCAAGGCGGGTGTTCGTATGCGCAAGCGACACGTAAGCAAGACCCCTTGGGCAACTTTCTTCAAGCCCCCCTTTGCCCCCTTCGCCCCCCCTTTACCCACGCGTTTGTCCCACTTGCCCCTCTTTGCCCATCCATTTGGCCCTCATTGCCCTACGAAGGGGGCGCCCCTAGTCGCACGTTTTTCGTCGTTTTAACTCGACGTACTGCGCTCTGCGCGATCGATTACCTCGCGGTACCAATTCTCCAACTCGAATTGATCTCTTTTTCACATTTGTATGGTGAGTCTGTACATGTGTTAGAGGATAGTCCGTGGATCTTTGGTACGAGAGTGTCCGCGCGAATCGTCGAGAGCGTGTCGTATTTAGTATTCCAATGTCGTGCTACGTCCACGGTTACTTCCCACGGCTATTTAGAATCCGCCAAGCGGTTCTTTGGCCGTTTCTATCCATTTCCCCCTCCACGTATCATTGGTGCTATTCAGATAGCCTCATCGAAAATCCAACTAGACACGCAAACCTCCCCTTTGCGTATCGACATCATCGCGAGATATTCGAGGAGGAAATTTTCACATATCGATGCTGCCCTCAAGTTTTGGGACATCTTGTCGTTGAGAATGCGAAATTCTCGGGAAAACATCCACTAAACTCGCGACAACCGCGAAAATCGCGAGAACCGCGAAATTTTTCTATTATTCTTCCGTTTATTTATCCCGAGTGTTTTTTTATCGTTGCCTATTTTCATTGTTTAAACAAAGAAAAGAAAAATGCACGGTAAATTTTCGTTGACAAAAAATGCCGAGTCAGGCGAGTTATTTCAGGCGAATAGGTCCCTCCCGTTGACGTGATATCGGGGACAATGAGGCCATGAAAAATAGCCAACCTCGCACGTATATCCACCCCCTCCTAGAGTTGTTCAACTACAAAACCCTCCCCCAGTCATAGTTGTTCAACTACAAAACCCTCTCCCTCCTTGAATTGCCGGAATATAAAAGCATGAATGACCATTGTGCCATTTTCCCGTAATTTCATTGATATCGATTTTCTCATTTTTCCGTATTTTGCAAAAAAAAAAATTGGTCTCGTGTTTTCAAGTTGTTGGGTATGAAATAAAAAAAAAAAAGTGAGAGGGAGATTGGTATCGTTGAGAATAACGGGTCAAATGTTTCGTGATCGTCTCGTGTGAGTCGTCCATCACGATCCCCTCGACGACACGCTTCGCATTCCGCATTCGGACCCAATGAATACCTTTTGCACCTTTGTAATACCCATGAAATATTATCACCTCATTCGTGATGTGTTTTAATTGCATTTTGCCTTTTGTCAATTGGGAGAATGAATTTTGCCCCCTTTGTCCTAGATTTTTTTATTTTTGGGTATCGTTCAATGGAATATGGGGCGATTGCCGATTTTCTAACGGGACGGGTCGTAAGTTTCAGGTGGGAATCGTTCATTCCGCTGGGGGTTCTTTTTTTTTATTTGAATTCTTGGAAACCTGTTTTGTAAGGAAGAGGAAGAATTCTCGAATTGAGGATGGATGGAGGATTCGTCCGGGTTTCAGGGATTTTTTTATAAAAAATTGTGGACTGGAATTGGATTTTCTTGATTGTGAAAAACCGAGGTGATATCAAATGACAAAAATATTTTCAAAACCTACATTGAACCAAAATTAATAATAGAATTAAAAAAAATAATTTTTACGACGATAGCTTCTTCCAATTATACTTTCCGCGGTGTTTTTTTTTCAAGCTTCTCCCAATATCAAAGCCCCGCGAAGGTTTAATCGATAAAAAAAAATTCCTTCAGTAGTTCGAGAGTAATTTTTAAAAGAGTAACAATGAACTCAACGATGAACAGAAATAAAAATTGAAGCTTCAAGTAGAATTCACCTGAATTGAAATGACTTCAAACAAAAAAAATGAAGCAAGAAAATAATTCGATAAACCGTTATCCATGATTCCAAACGAGAAATCATAATTTGTATCCATGTAATCCTCATTGACATTTTGGAATTCCGAATTAAAATTTAAAAATAGTCCCCTGTTTAAACTGGTAAATCATTCGATTTAACCGGTCATCTTTAACAGTACCGATATCTGGGATTTTCCAAGAAAACATCACTTCTATCTAAATCCCCAATTCATTATCACCCAAATGAACACATAAACATCGATAATCCGTTGATTACCTCATTAAACGACTGAGTACGAAACCCGAGTAATTTTTCACTCACCTAATGCCGTTTCATCGTCACGAAATAAACCTCAAGTAAATAACCGATAATATTCAATGCTCATCGTGCAACGAAGTCGTTAGTTTTATGCAACACGGTTGAATTACCGATGGAAAGAAATGAAAAAAAAAAAGGAAGTATTAGACTGTTGGGGTCAGTGTTCAGGTGACGATCGCAACGCGGCTATAACGGGGCCCGTATGGCGGCAAAACGTATCGTGATCGTGAGTCCTCTTCGCTGTCACTCGTAGGTGATCACTGGCACGAAAGCCACACGCCAACAAAATGCCAAGTCGTTCAAACGGTATCCACGTATTTCCAATTTCATTACTCCCCAAATTATTCAAATTTATGTTACACCCGAAAGAAAAAGTATACTTTATCGCACTGGGGCGAGAAGTCTCCAATGTTGCCGATTCACAGTGAGAAAACGCTCACGTCAGAGCGTAAACGATTTCTTAGATTGAATTTCTGGGGAAATGGCCTCAAGGTTGGATCCCGAGGCCGACAACCTGCGCCAATTGTACTGTAATTCTACTGTAATGAAATAATGCTCGGTGATCGATGAGTGTACGATGCGTAATAACGATGTAACGTCTTACCTGGATTGTTGTCGGCGTTTGAGCTGAATAGTACGCAGAGACCAGTCTCATAATTGACCGCTTGACAGGAGTCATTAGCCTGACAGGTCTCGAGGCAATCGGTGAGCATCAAGGTACCCGGAATGGACTCAAGCATGTTGGTGGGCGCGGTGTAAACGTATCCGGTGACTAGTTCAAAGCCAACCATCTCTGGATCACATTCATCGGAGCCAGCTGATGGGCCAGTGTAGTCGGGTCCGGAAGCCCCTGAGGGCTCCGAAACCACTGGTGTCGTTTGCACGTTACTTGCTTGAGACGTGTCAATCCCAAGGACAACCAGTGCACTCCAGGCGTGAAGTAAAAGCACTGTCAGGACACGGCAGCGGGAGTAACTCATCCTTTCGGCTTTGCGATTTATTCTTCAGTATCTGGAACAGGTGGAAATATATCGTCTGGGATTAGTCACTCTTTTCCGACAAATTTCACAGATTTTTCTATACAATTCTGACACGTGTTAAATTCCACCGAGACTTCAGACAATTTTTTATTGCTCAAGTATAAAAATCTCCAAATTTCAACGAGGTAAAATCGTGGAAAATGGCGATGGGTTATATTTTGAACTGGCAATTGGCTGAAAAAGAATGAAAAGTTGAATCAACACGAGTTAATTCCAGTGGCCGTCAAAGGCTCAAAGAGCCGTCCCTCCCCTTTTTGTCTTATCGAAAAATTTTCCGTTTACTTTTTCTCGCACTCTCTCTCCCTCATCCATACACATTCGTCTGGAACGTGCAAATATTTAGTTGAGGGAAGGGAAAACACAGTGCACTTGCTCTGTCGATGTGCATGAAGAACGTACACTTTTCGTTTGCCCAGAGTGGATGCAGCGGCGCCGCGAGATTAAACGTCTCCCTTTTCTCTCCCTTTTCTCTCCCTCCTCTTGCTCCTCTTTCCCTTTTTTCTTATGGTGTTAGGGTTGGAGATGTACAGAGCAGAGAGCGTTGAATCCCTAGGCCCGAGCTACATACCGTCTTGTATACACATCGTTATCTCCTCTGACGCTTTACAGCAAAATGAGAGGGATGGAGATGTATAAAAGACGTACATGAAGGCGGATATGCGGGACCCACTCTTTTCATGTAAACACCTACATTTTTATTTACTCTACTTCCTAAATTTATTTTACCCTTTGTCACTGAAAAATCTTTATCACTTTTTCGTTACTTCAAAATTCTGTAAAAATGCCACTTTTTGCTCGAGTCTTTTTAAACACCTGGAGTTTCAATTTTTAAAAATCATTATTGTAACATTTTTTTTTTTTTCGAAATTCAGGGGAATTTTTCCGAATTGAATAATTCACAGGAAAATTAGAGAAATGGAGACGTGCAGAAGCCGCACATAGAGGCAAATATGCGGGGCCCACTATTTCTATGTAAACACCTACATTTTTATTTACTCTACTTTCTAAATTTATCTCACCCTTTGTCACTTAAAAATCTTTATAACTTTGTCATAACTTTAAAATCCTATAAAAATGCCACTATTCCCCGAAGCCCTTTTAAATTCCAGCGGTTTCTATTCTAAAAAGCTCATTAATATGGAAAATTTGCAGAGGAAATTATTTGGGATCGCGTAAAATGGAATTAAATTCAATTACTCGATGAATTTCGGAAATGAGAAATAATTTATGTTGAAGTGGAAAATTCTATTTGTTTCACTTAACACTTCGCTACTGAATTGATCGAAATTCACCTGAAAAAAAAACTCCTCCCAGAGAAAACCCGCGGCGGAAATGATCAGAGGCAATAAAAGATGAGTCACACCCTTGTCAGAATTAAATTAGAAAATTCTTGAACAAACACATTCATGGCGATGTTTTCTTAAATAGATGAGGTTGATCTTGAGAAAATCCACTATGACCATTTTTTTCTACTGTTCTTCTTCTATCAAAAAAATTACCGCTGGAAATCTCATCAGGACCGGTAAATTAACTCTGGAAGGTATTGTGAATCCTCTGAGAAAATTTCAGGATTTTTTCAAAACTTTTCGACTGAAAAATGATTTCCGGATTTTAAAGTTGAACGTGAAAATTAAAATCAGGAATTTAAATGAAATTAATATATTTCCGTAAAAAAAAGAGAAAAAATTGTACGAAATATTTATATAAATCTGGGTTTTTTTTCAATAAGGACCACAAGAATTGAAAATAAATTCATTTTAATTTAAAAAAACATAATCTTTTAAAATTTTAGAAATTGGGAGTGCGATAGCTTCTTTTAATTGATCATCACAGAAGAATAAATTGATCGCTTAATAAAATTGAAATAGTTTCGAATATTCCAGAATTATTCAGTGAACAGGGCCCCATAAAATGGGTCTATCCCCTTTAGGTTCCAGGTATACTCAGTAATTCACCTGTTCCGAAGTTCTGTTGATCGATTTTATTTAAAAATATTAAAAAATATTATCACACAACAGCTTAAAAAGCGCCGATTGCCCTACTGCAAGATAAATTTCCGATTTCAAATCGGAAATTTTTTGAAAAATCTCAAAAATTCCAAAAAATTGGCAGGAACTTTATTTATTTTCTGAAATATAATTCGGATCGTGGAAGTTCCATGAGGATTCCGTCGACGTCCTTTATAATCCACCCGAATCTTTAATATCTCCACACACCCGTCAGAAATTCACCTGTTCTAGAATTTCCTCAATTTACCTCGTTTTATCGCTTTAAGAGAGTTTCAAAAGTTCTGCATTTGAAGAGTAAAGTTCACGGGACCTTTTCTATTGGCGTATTCACTTCAAAGAAATGTTTGAAGCAGCCGGAGGAGTCGAGGAATCAGGGAACTACGAACATTAATAAAACGATAAAACGGGATTTTTTAATTTGGAGAAGTGCCGGTTGACAGGTGAAGCTCGAAATTAGACACAATATTACACGGTTGAGAATATTCACATAAAAATATATACATTACACTCGAGCCAAGTATACACGTTAAAAGTAAATGAAATATAATATAATACACTTGAAATAAACAAAATAAATACATCTATTTCAAGGGTATTACTATAGTTAATTTTTCTCTCTCAATTTTTTTGACTTTTATTATGAAAATTCAGATATTCATGACTGCCGCGAAAAATTAAGCAAGAATTTGGAATTCAATGATTTCTCCTCCCAGTCGAATGTACTGATGAGCTCCTGGGGAATATTAATGATTTATCGATGAACATTTAATTGCATTCTTATGGGACTTACATAAAAAAAACCGCAATCACTGGAAAATCTGCACAAACAGCGTGAACTCACAGTAAAAAAAAAACACAAGAAAAAATAAAAACTTCACCGGATTCAGAACCCGATCTATCGCGCACGCGTACTCGGAGTCTGTCACACTGTGATAAGATTCACTGGAATGATTCGAAATCGTGTAAATAAAAAAGTGCTGAATTACTAAAAAGTGAAGATCCACGGAGCGTATCGCCTCCTGGATCTTGAACTCTAAAACTCGACTCGACTGAACGTTTGCGTTGCACCTTGTCCCGGTGTTTCAAAGGTGCTTCTTCCTCGTGCGACCGACCAACCGCGTCTGAGGTATCCTCCAGGAGAAGCCAACCCGATCGCTCTAAGGAGGACAGAAACGGTACGCATGGGGCACCATTGCCAGTACACAAACCCATTGAAAACGTCGGTTTTCGATCGGTCGCGCACACGTCTCTCGATCTTCCTCTCATTCCCTCTCATTTCCCCTCATTTCCTATCCCACTCCTCCCCTCTCCACATTTTATCATGAGTCCCAATCCCCTCCCTTATCTAGTCCCTTCCACTTTTCTATTCGTCTGACGTCAGTTTCTCGCAGGCCCCGAGACCTAGTACCTGTTGTCAAAAGTTTTTCGGGAATATCTCGGAGAATTATGGAAATACCGGAATTATTGTAAAGACCGATTTTTTAGGGCTAGATGAGAGTTACAAAAAAGGTTATTATGAAGGTTTTGATATTTTCTGTAGATTCGGAATTATTTGAATATTTCAAAAATATCAACAATTCAAAAAATCGCGAAAATTTGGGAATCATTGCGGAAACCAAGGGAGGTTGTAAATTGTCGAACAAATTTTACCTGGGGGCGAGGGAATCGGAAAAAATCCACTCTTTTCGTTGGGATTGGAGGTATTTCCAAAAATGTTATACGGAATGATGGCGGATTTACCTTCTTCGTCGAGGATTACATCATCCTCGGGTTGATCACCTTCCGCACTTAATATGCCGGACGACGGTGACTTATTGTACACATTGTTATGGGTTTTAGAGAGGTATTTGGGTTGTCTACGAAGTCAATGACTCTTTCCGCATTCTTTCCCTGAAGGAAAGGGCGATTTTCCAGCGAAGGCGATGGTATGGGGAAAATTATAATTTTTTCTTGCAATCATTGTAAATTCATATAATTGTTAATTCCCCTAATGAAAAATAGATATCGTTTTTCAGAAAGAAGTGTCTGATTGCAAAAAGAAGTTTTCTCGAATCTTATGTTAGAAATTTTTTTTCTAACATAAATAAACTTTTTTCTGTGTTCCCCTGAGGTCGTAACTGCCATGATCATCTTCTAAAGAAATATGATTGTCATAATCGAAATCTAATGGGGTTTCCCTGGAAATGACTCGGCTGGAAAAATACCGTAATGAGAGACTCAGTGCATCTCTGGAGAAAATGCATAAATAAATCAATTTATTCGCCATTAAATAGAGAAAATTTTGTATGAAAATTTCTGAAACAATACAAATTTCAACTTGTAGTTGAATTCCACAATTCATGGTAGTCACAAAAATATTTATTATTAATTATTTATGATTCGATTACACGTACAATAATTGCCCATTTATGCCCATCTGAACTGTAAAATTTTTAGACTTCTTGTCCTCACGAACAAAAACCCATTGAGATGATTTGTAAAGTGATCGAGTGTTGACTAAACTTTTATTATCCTCCAGAAAAAGGGCAATTGTCATCGAAAAGAATAATAAGATTCATACGAATTCAAATACGTGAATTGTAATTCAAAATACTTGGACTTTCACGTCGAAAATATTCTATCGACATTTGACAATTGACGGACCGACAAGATGTCCCGTAATTGTAGATATGACTTGCATCTCAATTTCAATCATTATTCCCCCAAAATGAGTCATGAACAATTGAGTTATCACGAGAGAATGATGAATTATCCCCATCGCAGTTGAAGAAACCCAAAAGAATAAGAAGATCATTAGACAGAACTTCCAATGACCGAATAACGAGAAAAATTCCCATTCATTAATACCAGAATTCACTTAATGAGCCGTTCATTTACCATCGATGATACAATGATTACGAGATTCTCGTGTGAAATTGGCTGAGCCCCATCGACAATTCGACGATTGTAATGAAAAGCCTAACGGTCCACTCCCACCAGCAATTACGAAAATTGAATAAAACCGAATGCTCATCACTCGTTCTAAAAATCCCACGATTAACCGTTGACAAGGAATAAAAATGCACCATTTACTAATATCCCCGAATCATCGAACAAGACCCTCATTAATCCCCAGACGATAACGACTGGTCGGTGGTGCCCCTCCCCGAACTCTCAATTATCCATCAGCGGATGCACCTCACAGAGCAATGAATCGACGAAAAACCGCTCAACTGAATTCTTTCCTTAACTGTAAAACCCCGATGCCTGCATCGACTTGAAGGGCACGCATTCATCGAGCCGCACTAATTCCTCGAACCGTGTAATAAATTAATTCCTCCGAAGTCGTAACATTAATTACGTCTTTCTACCTCCACGTAATAAATATTTTTTAATAAGTGCCATAATGCGTAATCAAAATGGAACGAAAATAAAATCGATCGAATAATTTTAATCCCCAAAAAAGGAATGAATCGTAGAAAAATCATGGAAGCAACCACCCAAGTGTTTTTAACGGTACGAATAGCTAGGATTGAGCCGAAGTTGGCGCGATGTTCAGAATCTCGTGCAAGAATTCCTCCCGATCTCCTCCAGATGTTATAACTGCGAAAACTCCTTCACCATCCAGCAGCATCACGCAGAAAATGACAGAGTCTGTCATTACACCGCGTATAGGCGGAGTACAAATGCTCTCCTCCCCCCCCGAGAAAAGAGTATAACTGCTGTATCATTTGAGCGGCTCAAATAGACCGGACGATCCAAAAGGCGTCTCAACAAAATAATTACACTGTTATAGCCCATAATATCAGGATATATGACACACATAAAGACTCGTCAATCCCTCCTGAAACAGTTTTCTCGTAGCAAACGTGATTTTTCATCCATTTCCATCGACGAGATTATTTATCCGCAGTTGGTAGCATCAAGAAAATGTGTGCTGCACGTGTGAAAAGATCAGCCATAAAAGGTTCGATCCCTTTTATTTTCCGCGAAATAGAATACTATAGAGTGAACATATATAAAATAGCTTGTCCTCAAGTCGGCATTGGGTACCAGGTGGTTAGAGTCAGTTTAATTCAAGTGTAAGAGTGAGAAAATGAGACTAAAAAGAGAAATGAAGCCGAAGCCCCGTGGGTTACCCGTGGCCGAGAGATTTTCTGTTCACGTATAGCGGCCAACCTTCTCTGTTTGCCCCCGCTAACTCCTCGTCCACGGCATATAACGGTTTTCACGTGCACACTTATATATGTATGTATGTATGTATCCCATAGGGCCGCGTTTCAATCGGCAATCGCGATCTTCAACTGTGGCCACCGCTTGTTGTATCTTTCGCTTCCTTTTCTCAGCCCGCTTTGGAATTTTAGTTTATTTTATCCACTAAGCTCAATGTTGAATAAATCCACACAACGGTCATGATGAATAAATGGCGTTTTTATTATAATTTCTTTCTCACCCTGAATGGGCCTGGCCACCGGTTGCCTCGAAAACACTGTGAAAAACACCGACAATACCAAATTTGGACGAAACACCAGTGAAATGCCCGTAATAATTCCCATCCAAGAATTTCCTACTGAGATTCTATACAGGATTTACCTCCTCGTCGATTTATGACCGCCCGACATACACCTCACAAAAGGCCAATACCGATGACCCCTATGTCGTTTAATCGCTAATTGAACGAATCGGCCCACTCGTCGTTAATCAACCGAGACGAGTTGGTAGCTTTTACGATACGCTTTTTCCCACCTCTTCATTCCACATAGCTTTCACGATCGTCACGGTATTTCGCTTCTAAATACACCATCGCGTTGGACTATCATGTAAGGACAGTTAGCGATAATTAATTTCACTTTTAATCGTGTGAAAATACCGATCCACCGGCCGAGGGAGTATCAATTCATTCGATTATTTATAGGTCAAACATAAAGTCGGTGAGGATCTCGTTGCCCATTAAGGATCGTGTGTAGAAATCCCCCTTTTTTTTTTATTTATACGTTTCCTTTTTTCTTTTTCGGACGTTACTGTTTATCGCCTAACGGCGTTTAGTGTTCTCGATTCATTCGTTTTCTCGGTCAAATCCGATCGCCAACGCGACACCATTGGTGGGGGAGGCACATAACTGGCAATCTGATACTAAATGCATACAAAATTATTCCGTGTAGTTTTCCATTTTCACGGGAGTCACGACAAATTTGCTATTTCTCGTATTACTTGTTCGGTAATTTGACATAGAGTGCAGTAAAGGCATCCATTGAGCCCATGCAATAGTCGAATATATTAATATCCCTGTGTACCGGCAGTGAAGTACTCGAGGAAGTACGCGAATTCCGAATGAAAAGCCCGTGGCACGTGCGACCTGAAATCATTGGAGGTCGAGTCGGCGTTCACTCTGTTCACGTCACGTTAAATGTATATGGTTGTATCAAAGTGAAACAGTACTGGACAAGTCCTATAAACGGTATGTACAGCTGACAACTGGGTATATTCATTGGTCAAGGGGATGGGATTGTCGACTGGGGGGAGGGGGAATTTGGCTGTCGGAATTCCTCTGCTGTCCGATTATCCGTCCGAATGAATCGGCGACGATCGCCAAATTCCCGTGCGTTACGTTCAACTCTGCCCGTTATAATTCCAGTTACTCGATAATCATTGAATATTCGGTTGTGCGGATACAAATTATAGGTATACATAATCATTGCAACTGTCTATCCAATGCATGTGATAGTACATAGGGTACCCTGTGGAGTTGAGTCTTTGAGGTATTAATCGAGCGATTATGAGCACCGGTTTGTACAAAATTGTGCGGATGACAAGTGTTAAATGGGGGTATTAACTCGGTTCGGGGATATTTGGATTGATGAGGTGCTCGATGGAATGGGTTGTTACCATTTTTCACGGCATTTACGAGCCTTGGATTGAGGGCATTAGATTGGAATGCACCAGTGCATCAACATATTTCAGATAAATCTGACGGACTGCCATTCCGGGAGATTTGATTCAAATTATGGACGAGTTAATGAATCAGATTTGGTGGGGATAGTGTACCAGGGCATTTTCAAATAGATTATTGGTGTTATTGAAAATTAAATGTAGGGTTCAATTGATAAATTTCGGGTGGAGCCTTTTAAAACTAGAGGAAAG